GTGTGATGAAGGCAGACTGTCTGAGGAAATACAATGCCAATGAAGTGAGATTGCATCACATTTTCAACAGCATGTAAAAGGTCTTCATCCTAATCTGTGCAACTGAAGTTGATATGTAGGATGTAGAGTGTATGGATTTGAACATCTGAAGTATCTTTGGATAATCCCACTAATTTCTAATGAACAGTTTTCTATTACCATGTGTAAAACTGTATGGTGAAATTTTACAAATGTCCTTGATACTGCTTCATTGTTTATTTACAGATATACACATAAAATTTTATTGAAAGTGTATTTTGGTTACTAAAATTTTGTTTGACTCTTGAAAAGAAACAAGACAATGGAGAAAGGGTCTTAGAATTAAAAGTCTAGATTAAATGGCAAATGTGTTCTTAGCAGCAAAATTAAACATTTTGCATTTAAATGTTTTTTATTTAAATGCTTTATTGTACAAAACTTTTTAAAAAAACATATTTTTATTGATTTCAGAGAGGAAAGGAGAGGGAGATAGAAACATCAATAATGAGAATCATTGATCAGCTGCCTCCTGCAACCCCCAGCCAGGCCTGTGCCCTGATGGGAATTGCACTGTGACCCTGATTCATAGGTTGAAGCTCAACCCAAGCCGTGCTGCACAAAACTTCTGTTAAGTTATTTTTAATAGTACCCTAATAGGTTGACTGCTTTAATTTTTCTGTCAAATATTCTGTTCATATGTAATTTATCAGGTAGAAATGTTTCCTACTTTAAGTAACAGAAGATCCTAGTAGCAATGGTTTCTCAAATAGGGGTTTATTTTTTTCACATAACGAGAAGTATAGAGGAGCTGGCTGCTGGCATTGGTTCATTGACTCCATGATACCAAGTCTCTGATTCTTTTGGCCTTTCCCTCATGGTAACAAAATGGCCTCTGCAGTCCAAGGCTATGTCTCTATTATCAAAACCAGAAAAGGGGAGGAGGCAGGGCCTTACACATCTAATTCTTTCTCATACCAGCAAAACCTTCTCCAGAAACCCACAGCAGATTTGTGCTCGTCTGTTGGCCACAAGTGTATAAGATGATCACCTCTAGTTCCAAGAAAGGTCAAGAAATGAAATTGTAAGCTTTTCCAGACTTTCTAATAAGAGGTAGGAAAGGTTAGGAATAAATGTGGATCAGGGAACCAATAATTTTGCCAGTCGTTACAAGTAAAGCAGACATAATTTACATTTTAATCTTTTCTGTTGTCTTCAGAAAGCTGATTTTTAAATGTCAACTTAATAGTCCAAGTTGTTTTCTTGCCATAATTTAAACATTCTCTCATTGGATATCTAATTTGTTTTCAGTGTTAATCCAATATAGAAAATGCTACCGTGACTATCTTCTTGTACATAACTTTGCTTTCTTTGGTCCGAGTTCCCAAGAGTAAGGTTGCAATTCATGAGTCTTATCAGTTAATGTTGTATTTGAAAACTTAACTGAGGTTTTTAAAAATTAGGAATTTTTGTTTCTCATCTGATAATTCTGGTATAGGAAGTTCAGGGGCTAGTACAGCAACTTTATAATATCTGAAATAGCCGAAACCGGTTTGGCTCAGTGGATAGAGCGTCGGCCTGCGGACTGAAAGGTCCCAGGTTCGATTCCGGTCAAGGGCATGTACCTGGGTTGCGGGCACATCCCCAGTAGGAGATGTGCAGGAGGCAGCTGATCGATGTTTCTCTCTCATCGATGTTTCTAACTCTCTCTATCTCTCTCCCTTCCTCTCTGTAAAAAATCAATAAAATATATTTAAAAAAAATATCTGAAATATCCTGGGCTGCATACAGATTTCTCTTTTATCAATTTTAGTATGTAGCTTTCATCTTTTCAGTCATGGTATGGTTGCTTTGTCTCTTGTCTCACATCTGTATTCCAGGAAGGATAAAAAAGGCACCATCCCTTCTTGCTGTTTACGTCAAAGGAGCAAAGCATTATAAGAAACCCTCAACTTATAATTTGCTAGAGTTATATTTTCTGATTATAAAGAAAGATGGAAATAGAAATTTTTTAGCAGAGCACACATTGCCATTCCTATAAAAGATGGAGTTCTGTTAGAAAAGAGGGGACAGTGGCTACTGGATAGGCAGCCAGCACTGTCTACTATAAAGAGCTTAGCTTTCCAACCTTTATCACAACCGTTATAGCTTCACATTTTTTGTCGTTTTGATGCTGGGGGAATGGGTACAAAGGGGTCGATTTTAATTTGTTAATTGTTTTAATTTACGTTTCTTCCATAACTAGTGATTGAACACGTAGTCATGCACACTACTCACACAGAATGAAATTCCTGAGGACTGGATAGCATACAAAAGAAGGCAATTTTGTATGTGCTGAAGACAAGTGGTATAAGAATTTATTTTAATAAAGTAACACCTCTATTTTCTAGCAAGCTGGAGGATTCCCAAATAGGTAAATGAGAACCCATTTTTATAATGACTCAATTTGGCATAAGGATTTTTTTCAGGAATGTAAGGACAAATAAAAATAGATATTTTAAGACATTAATCACAATTAAAAGTATCTTCCAATTTTAATGAAAAATTGAAGTTCATCCACTCTTAACAGAGGTATAAAACCTTAAATTTGTTGAGAAATTATACATTTTAAAGGTATAATTTAGAAGTAGTTATTTTGAAAATAGCAGCTACCAAATGGTAATTTAATGAGGTCTGTGGAACAGTGACAAAGTAAATTAAATTGCACCTGTATTTTTTTGTTCACATAAAAGATACATTTTTTTTTTTTTTGGTCAGGATAATATACACTTACTAAATTGTGATAATACTTTTATTAAAATTTTATTAATTTTCAAATAAGATTATTTCATGTGTCTCTTAGAATAAACCAATTAGAAGCTGACTTATAATAAAATTGATTCAAGTTATTTAGTCTACTCTCTGGGATAGAAAGAAAAATGTTTTATAGACCCTAGCCAGGTAGCTCAGTTGGTTAGAGCGTCATCCCGATATGCCAAGGTTGCAGGTTCGATCTCCGGTGGAGGTACATACAAGAATCAACCAATTGTCCTAACTGGTTTGGCTCAGTGGATAGAGCGTCGGCCTGCAGACTGAAGGATTCCAGGTTCAATTCCAGGTCAAGGACATGTACCTTGGTTGCGGGCACATTCCCAGTAGGGGGTGTGCAGGAGGCAGCTGATCGATGTTTCTCTCTCATTGATTTTTCTAACTCTCTATCCCTCTCCCTTCCTCTCTGTAAAAAAATCAATAAAATATATATTTTTTAAAAAGAATCAACCAATTAATGCATGAATGGGTGGAACAACAAATTGATGTTTTTCTTTCTCTTCCTCTCTATAAATCAAATAATTTTAATTAAATCATTTTAAAAAATTATAGAGATATCAATTTGATCTCATTTGTATGACAATTATATTTTGCTACGCATATTACCAATTGCTACCAAATTTCTAAAACAAATGTTTCCCAAATTTCCCTAGAATGTTGATTTATTTGGGCTGGTAGTGTTTCTGTAAAAAATGGTTCTGCGATCAAATACTAGGTTAAATAAAATTGTGTTTTTTTTTCTGAACCTGTAAACATGCCATTATTATGCGTTAGAAATCTACAAAAGATGATGGATTTCCAAAATGTAACTATATATATAAAAGGCTAATATGCTAAGTGTCCTTCCCTCTGTCCAGGTAATGACATCACGTAGCAACACCCAGCTTCCTCTCTCTAGCGACGACTAGCCTCCTTGCAGTTTCTTCAGCCCAGGAGCCAACTTGCTTCATAGCCAGCTGCAAATACTTTACACTGTAACCAAATGTCTGTGAAGAGTTTTCCCGCGCCTCATCTCATTCAATCCCACAGAAGTCCTGGAGTAGGTAAATAGGAGACTCTGTGGAATCCTATTTTCTTTTCATTAGCCAGAAAATGGAGATCTAGAAAGTTTAGAAACTTGACCCAACTGAAAAAAAGAAATGGTGGACCTTGAAAATGACTTCAGGTTTTCTCACTGCATAGAATATAGTCAAACACTGCTACAGTTAAATATTTTACCCTTTGTTCTCCCTGCGTGAGCTACAATAATAATCTACTTTGTGTTGATATTTATTGCTGGGTTGCTGACAATTTAGTTAAGAGATACCCCTCTGTGAACTAGGAAACAGACCCTCACCACACCCTGAATGTAACACTCCTTCTAACCTGTGGGAAAGAGTAAATAAGGGAATAAAGATAAAGAAGACCTTGGTTGGGTAACTCATTTGGTTAGAGTGTTGTTCTGAAATGCCGTGGTTGTGGGTTCGATCCCAGGGCAGGGCACATACAAGAATCAACCAATGAGTGCATAAATAAGTGGAAGAGCAAATCAATGTTTCTCTCTCTCTAAAAGTCAATAAGTAAAAAAACCACAAAAAACTGCCACCTACCAATCTGGAGGGATCTGCCTTAAAAAATCTATAATAATAAAAGCGTAATATGCTAATTAGACTGAACATCCTTCCGGGGCTCCTGCTACGAGGGCCGGGGCGGCGACCGGGGATGCCGCCTTGGCCCTCAGAGCCCCTTGCACAAATTTTGTGCATTGGACCTCTAGTGTGTGTGTATGTATGTATGTGTGTGTGTATATGTATGTATATATATATATATATGATAAAAACTTCACCAGCACTTCTATGCAGGGGGAGAAAAATTGAAAGTTGTAACTGTAACAGGAATAAATATAAAAATTTCTACCTAAAATGCCTAATATTCTTTGGCCCTGGAGTTACTGAATTCACATTTAAACTAATCTATATTTCACTTTTATTATATTAATGGATCTCTCCAGGACTGAAATCTATTAAAGTAAAATTATGTTTTTGAGTAAATTTAGGCAGCCTGATATGACATATCTCACACAATCTACACTACATATAATGAAATCCTTATATGGGCCTCTAGTATATAATGAAATATTTATACAGGCATAAAAATCCTTAATAGAAATAAATTATAAGCAATAAAATAAAGTCTTATTTAGTGTGCCGTTTGCTTTTTTTAATAACTAAAATTCATAAAGGAATCAAAATTTGTTCATTCTTACACAAATGATTCTGGCTCTTTTTTTATTCTAATTTATCAAACCCTGAGTTTTGCTTTTCCATCTGTGGTTAAACATCCATCCCTAAGCAAGTAGAAATGTTAAAATAAGGATCCTACATCTTGGTGTTTATTTATTTGAAATTAGGATTTTTTCATTCTGAATAGATTCAATAAAGTGTATGTTATGGTAGAATGTCTCTATCTGCATTAACTTGACCTATGTTAAACTGATAAAATACAACCTTAGTCCTGCTTAAGAGTACATCTTTCATTATATAAGTTAGCAAATAGCTTATATAACACAAATGTCCAACAATTTTAATTAAATCATTGCTACTTGAAATACTTTATACATGAATAATTTAACTCTTTACACTGTTGAAGCATTGCATTTCAGTATGTTCTATGACTTCTGTATCATCACCTGAAATTTACCTAAAAGAGAAAACATGAAAAATAATTTTGATTTTAGGAACAAGGAAAACAAGTCTAAACATCAGCTAGTAGTTTTAATCAAGAAACTTGTTATGACAAACTTTTCAAATTTTTTGTTAAAGGAAACACATTGAAGCTCAAGTCAATTTTATTCTTGGTTGGTATATCTAGGTGAAAAGATCTTTCCAAATGAGTTTACTGATAAAAAAAAAAAACCCAGCTGGCTTTATCTAGTTTTACGTAATAAATATAGTCTAGAAAACTTTAAAAGTGTTTTTCAATGCTATAGGGAAATTTTCTATCTGAAAGAATACAATTTTCCTTTAAAAGTTAATCACCCTGGCGTGTGTGGCTCAGTTGGTTGAGCGTCCTCTTCCCAGGGAACAAGAGGTTGCCAGTTCCATTCCCAGTCAGGGCACACACTGGGTGCCACTTGATCACCAGTAGGGGGTGGGCAGGAGGCAATCGATGTTTCTCTCTCCCTCTCCTTTCCTCTTTCTCTCTCAAATCAGTAAAAACATTTTTTTCTTAAAAGGTTAAGAATCATTCCTTAAGTCTGGTAAATTTGGATTTCTTTAGCACATTTTCTTATATCAATGTCCATTCTGAATTCAAAAATCACTGAATATAAGTATGCTACATATTACTACATTAAATATTAAAATTGGTCAAAGTAAAATAAATGGTTTTAGCATTTTAAATTTCCTCTAATTTAACAAAAACAAAAAAACACCAGACCTAAAAAATAATAATTAAAAACATTTGTAAAAAATGTGAATTCAACTTACAGGCAGGCATTGAAGACACCTCAGCTGTTACAATACTTTTAATCCCCAAGTTTGATAAACCACCTCTGATTAAGCCACATGTAAATGCTAAATACTAAAAGGGGGAAAAAATGTGAAGAAAATATTAAGGATTTACTAAGACAGAAAAGTCTATGGATAAGTATGACATTTAAGTCTTACTATTATTAAGTAATTCCTGTTTTTAAAAAAGGGTTGTGGAAAAACTTTTCAAATTACTGAAACTTTGGATTGTTAGATTTCCCAGCTCCTTGCAACTAAAGTATGACACATGACAAGTTCTGCCAATTGTGTGCTCCATTCCAGGACTCTGAATCTAGAGTGAGTGACAAACTCAAGCTGGAAACAGGTTAGAATTAGTTCTAGAGGCAACAAGGGTGGCTGTGTCTAATGTCAGTTCTGACTGAAGAAGTCTAACCAGATCCTCCCAGTGGAATGATTAGGGGCTACCTTTCTGGCTGCTTTAACGTCCCAGGATTCTTGCCTGTTTTCTTCCCATCAGTTCTGTGAGCTGATATTATTCCATTCAATCAGAATTGGTTTCTGCTTCCCACAACTAAAAATCGTGATTTGTTCACAACAAAAAAATTATCTAGTTCAAAATACCATTAGTGCTGAAATTGAGAAATCCTGTCATATAGAAACAAGGAAAGGGACTGGGCTACAGCAGAGAAAGCCAGGACAAAAATGGGAACTAAAAAATTAATCTAAGGAATTTTTGATTATCTACATTTCTGTATTGTATACTATTCAACAATACTATGTATATATAAATAATATAGACTATTATTTTACAACTAGTGGCCCGGTGCACAAAATTCATGCACATTAAAAGGGAATTAATTAGAGGAAATATATAATATTGCTATTTGCCCTTTATAATAGAAGTGTCAGAGATGAAAGGAAATTAGTAAAATGTATATGAAAATATATAAATGTATTAATAAATAAAAAATAACAAAATGATATAACAACAAAGACATGATATAAAAACAACAAAAACATGATTTAAAAACAACAGTGATTCAAACAATGACTGATAAAGTGATTAAACTTATTCTATTCTAATATCTCCCTGTATACCACATTAAGAGTGAAAACACTTTCAGAGTGCTTGACTAATTTCCCTTGTGATGAAGTACTTAGAACTTTAACTGTAACATCACATGCTCTTCAAACTCGAGAGAAAGCAACATATAACTGACTATGTCTGAAAACAGGTTTAGGTAGGAATATTCCTACTCTGTCTAGAGTTTGTCCTTGTGATTTATTAATAGTCATTGCAAATGCTGGCATCACGGGAAACTGTCGTCAAATTAATTTAAATGGGAGGCCAGTGTCAGATGGGGACAAATCAATTCTTGGAATCAGAACAACCTCCCCCTCTGCAGATCCTGTTAATACTTCAGCTTCAGTAATGTTAGGTCATAATCTTTTGATAATAAATCTAGTACCATTACAAAGACCCCATTTACTATTAAGATTTCTCAGTAGCATGATGATTGCACCTTCTATCAATTTTAATTTATGACACAGCATTCCCGAAGGAGTAATACTATTAAGAAATTCAATGGGGCCCTAACTGGTTTGGCTCAGTGGATGGAGCATTGGCCTGCGGACTGAAGGGTCCCAGGTTCAATTCCAGTCAAGGGCATGTACCTTGGTTGCGGGCACATCCCCAATAGGGAGTGTGCAGGAGGCAGCTGATGGATGTTTCTCTCTCATCGATGTTTCTAACTCTCTATCCCTCTCCCTTCCTCTCTGTAAAAAATCAATAAAATATATTTAAAAAAAAAAAGAAATTCAATGGGAAAATTTTCCTTTTCAGCATCATCTGTTGAATCAATGGAATCATCACTCAAATATGTGTGAAAATCTCCATCGAGTATATCCAAAATTTCATTTAATTTTTGAACGTGCTCATTTTTTGGACAAAGAATTGCACATTTAGATATATTTTTAATATTATCTACAGATATACTATTTCCAAAGGTAGCTTCAATAATAGATCTGTTACAAATCATTTCACAGGGGATTTTAATAATATCCATTTCTAAATGAAAACTGCTATCAAGCCATAGCTGGTTTGGCTCAATGGATAGAGCATTGGCCTGCAGACTAAGGGGTCTCAGGTTCGATTCTGGCTAGGGGCACATGCCTGGGTTGTGGGCTCTGTCCCCATAGGGGGCAAGCAGGAGGCAGCCAATCAATGATTCTCTCTCATTGATGTTTCTATCGCTCTCTCTCCCTCTCCCTTCCTCTGTAAAATCAATAATATATATAAAAACAAAAGAAAACTAGCCGGTTTGGCTCAGTGGATAGAGCATAGGCCTGTGGACTGAGGGGTCTCAGGTTCGATTCCAGTCAAGGGCATGTACCTTGGTTGTGGGCATATCCCCAGTGGGGTGTGTGCAGGAGGCAGCTGATCAATGTTTTTAACTCTCTCCCTTCCTCTCTGTAAAAATTCAATAAAATATATATATATTTTTTAAAAAACTGCTATCAAGTTTGCCATCTCCAAGTTTTACTAACCATTCACTATAAGCGGAATTCTCTGATCTCATATTTGTTTTAAAAGACAACTTTCTGAATCATCCCCAAACACTGCAGTTCTTTAAAGTCGTTTGTACTATGGCCGATCACATAGCATGCGGTACAATACTGAGACATTGTCAAAAATTCCCGAGAACTTTCCCACCAAATGCAACATTCAAATTTATAATTTCTCTTAGTAATCTGTCTATGGCATTTATAGCAGGACTGGATGCCATGGTGCATTCATCAATACTGAGAAGTTTGGCCTTTTTAATGGTTTTAGCAACTTCACTCTTTATATTGAGTCTAGAAATTGAAGTTTCATTTAATGGAATCGGTAATTTATACTGGGAATGAAAGGTTCTTCCACCGAGAAGTAAATTTGCAGCAATTCCTGTAGACGCTGTAGGTAAAACAGTACCACCACGACCTCTAATATAATGTATTAAAACTTTATAAAGATATGTTTTTCCACTACCACCTGGACCATCCAAGAGAAAGCATTTGGGGCATACAGTTTGATCTTCGATGGCTGAAGTTATAGTCTGAAAAGCAGCTTCACCTCAGCGCTGGGCAGGACTCACATAGGCAGCGTGACATTAGCGCTGGGCAGGCCTGCGTGCGCCTCCGCTGGGCGCTGGGGGGCGGAAGTCCCCACCCCCGTCTCCACCCACCAGCTCCAGTCATGACTGGAACACCATTAGGACCAACTAGCATATTATCTCTTTATACATATAGATATACATAAATGGGTACTGATAAGCATTTAGAACTAGAGTCATGAAATTTTGAACTGGAAGAAAGCTTACAGACTGTTTATAATATAGAAATTATTATAACCAGTTTTATTAATGAGTAACTAAGGTCCATAGGGGTTATGTAAATTACCCAATGTCACAAACCTGTAAATTGTGGAGCTTACCTTAAATCTACATTAGATTTGGTCCCAAATTTAGATTTAGTTGGTCCCAAGTCCATGTTCTTTCCTCTATACCTATATGGCCTTGTGTTAGATGATTTAAGGTATGGGCAATTTTTTACAGATAAATAGCAGCTTAGATGGCCCCAGATATTTTAATCATTTCAAAGGAACCCTTACATTAAAACTTGTCATCTTTCTTTAATACATATGTCTACTTATTTTTGATTCCTACATGAGATTGAAAAACAAAAAGTACACAAAATCCAGAAACAGATATACTTAACACAAAACATGTATTCTTAGAAACATTGTTAACTATGTTTAAAACAATTTTTTTAACCTACTAAAGGAAATTGTAAATATAAACTCTGAGGTCAATAATTTTGCACAGCTAATAAGAGTTTTATAAGCTTGAATATCTTTTCTGACATATCTATGCTATATTCAAAAATTTATCATTAACCCACATTCAATTGGCATTTAGTTATAGTGTTTCTTTAATTGGTCATCATAAGCCTACTTAGCTACAATTTAAGTTATTTTAATATGATGAACAGCTGTCTCCTATTTCAAAGAAAAGTGTCTAAACAAAAAAGAAACATGGTAAAACCTATTTTAAATTCAAAAGTCTGTTGTATTTGGCACTGTACTTTTCCCTATGGTTCTACTCTTTTCATAATAATAATAAAAAAAACCTCAATTTTTTTTATTCCATTAAATACCTTAGATGCATGTTCTAAGTACTGTTTTCCTGCAGACATCTGAGTAAGCAGACGGAATTTGTTGTCCTGAAGTACATAGATGCCCTGTTCCAAAAAACAGAAAACACATCCAAAGTCACTGTAGCCTGCAGTCCTTAAAAATTACCTTTTCTTCAAAACAATAAGAGCTTTCTAAGTTATTGAAACTTGTTTCTATTGGCCAACTTTACTTACTGATTGATTTTAGAGAGAGAGAGAAAAACATCAATTTGTTGTTCCACTTATTTATGCACTCACTGGTTGATTTTTATATGTGCCCTGATTGGGGATCAAACCTGCAACCTTGGTGTATAGGGATGACGCTCTAACCAACTGAACTACCCAACCAGGGCCTCAAATTCTCTTTGAGTGAAGGAGTTCTGCAATGTTCAAGCTTAAGAGTTGTTCAGTATTATATAACTATATATTTATTGAATGCTTTTAGATACTGAAGATAAAAAGATGCATAAGACATAGACTCTATCCTTAACTCACAGTCTAGTGCAAAAGAATCACCAATACTTATCTAGGTAAAATCAGCAGTTATATATTATTAACTCATATCTATGAAGCCAATCATCAGTCACTTCTTTCCATTACTATTTCAAGTACTTCTAAAGTCAGGTTGATACTGTTATATGAAAAAATAAATTCTACAGATAGCTACTAGATATATTCTTTTCCTTTTTTATACTTAATCAAAGGGCCAAATCCACTCTACTTCCTTAAATGGATTTTAAATGCACATTTTCCATGTAGTCTATTGATTTTTATATTAAAATATTTTAACAGAAACTATGGCAGCAACTAAACAATACAAGACTAATTTAAGAGCTAAATATGTTCCATAAAATGGACTTCAAAAATTACTCTAAAGGCATAAATGTGACATATTTGTGGTTCTGCTTCTTATTACCTAAGTAATAATAGCTAAGAAACTAAATCCTAAAACTTTATCATTCTGACATTGCTACTTTTTAAAACTTAAAATAACTTATTTAATTGGGGGAAAGAAACAGCTATCATAACTGATCATTGTCCCTTTGTCTTTATTCACTATATCCTATTAGAGAATATAACTTATTAATAACATATAAGAGAAACATCCAAAGTTGAGTAGAAATTATTTTAAGTTTTAAATAAGTAAATCACTAAAATAGGACATTTATATTAAGTTAAAGGACTTAAAAAATAGGCTTTAATTTATCGAAATACCTGATGATTTGTCCTGAGATTGTCGATTTGTTTCTTGAATACTGTAGTCCAGAAATCTTTACAAATGAACTTCATAATATCTAACTCATCCTTGAACCTCGCGGTATCTTTTGTAAACCTAAAAAGATCAACTAGAAGTAATACAGTATTTTTCCTCCAAAGAAAGTAGGAGGGGCAAATTGTTAACTAATTTCCAAATGCCGAATAGCAGTGAATATTGACAGTCATAAAGTGATAAGCATCAAGCAAAGTAGATCCCATCTCAATAGATTTACATTCTTTAATACAATTATGGGGCTAAAATTGGTCTCACAGTAGAGTCTAACAGTAAGTTGCAGTTTTAGGTGCAATTCATCCTAGCACATCAAAAAAAGCTGAGGATGATCACGGTATTGTTACATAAAACAAAGTTCAACTATTTAGAGAGAAAGGAATACTAAAAATTGTTCTATAAATTAGAAGATGACTGCATACATAAACATAGACTCTAAAGCATCTCCACCTATGTATGCATTTAAACAAAATATATTTAGGTTAAAAAAACCTATGGAACAAAATTTAGATAGCTACTTTAGTACATCAAAGTCTCCCGGGAAAAAAGGCTCAAATATATAAAATATATATTTTCTTCAATATTAAAACATAATAATTGAATAACTGAGTTAAAATAACGTAAGACCTAAAAAGAAATTTCAATTTGTGAATTAAAGAACAGAGAAGAATTAAAGTATCTCAAGGTTTTTTTTAATATATTTTATTGATTTTTTACAGAGAGGAAGGGAGAGGGATAGAGAGTTAGAAATATCGATGAGAGAGAAACATCGATCAGCTGCCTCCTGCACACTCCCTACTGGGGATGTGCCCGCAACCAAGGTACATGCCCTTGACCGGAATCGAACCCGGAACCCTTCAGTCCGCAGGCCGACGCTCTATCCACTGAGCCAAACCGGTTAGGGCAAAAGTATCTCAAGTTTTATGCAATCTTTTGAAATGGATCATCTTTGTTCATAACCTACCTGGAAGAAAATTTTCAAATCCAGACTGCTCACCTTTCTATCAATCCTTGTCCCACTCGAAACCCCATGTTTTCCAGCTTAGTAATACAGCGTCCATTTTCCTATTTGAAAAAATAATACCTTAGAATACTTTTAGAATGTCAGAATGTTGGCATTCAAAATTGTTTTAAAATGTTGGCTAAAAAAAATGTAAACATGTATACTTTCTTCATTGAAACATTACAGGAAAAAGTGAATTTTCTTAGTACTAATCATTTTCATAAGGCAATAAGATAAATAGGGAACTGTTGCTTATTATTACTTTTCAGAAATGTTGAAGCCTCTTCATAATTATTCTCCCCCTACTTGTTTTCCCCCATTCAACAATTCTTCTCTCCTCAGTAGTTATAAAACTTGGTATTAGGACCATTTGAGATCTTGCTTCCCAGGAACTGTCCTCAGTTTTGGCTCAAATAAACTCTTATAAAATTCTCTAAAAACAAAAATAGCCTTAGCCAGTTTGTCTCAGTGGATAGAGCATCAGCCTGCAGACTGAGGGGTCCCAGGTTCGATTCTGGTCAAGGCATATGCCCGGGTTGCTGGCTTGATCCCCAGTGGGGGGCATGCAGGATGCAGCCAATCAATGATTCTCTCTCATCATTGATGTTTCTCTCTCTCTCTCTCCCTCTCCCTTTCTCTCTGAAATCAATAAAAATATATTTTTAAAAATAAAAAATAAATAATAAAACTTGGTATCACCTTTGATTTTTTCTGTCAGTCATTCACTTTGTATGGTCATTGAGTTCTATTGTTCCTTGTTTCAAAATGTCTCTTAAGAGTTATCCAGGCTTTCGAATTCTGTGTGTCTATATTGATGACCCCATCCTATGCCTGGAATAATGCATTTGCTTTGTTCTTCAATTGACAATTTCATCGTGTTAAGGCTTTAAATACTATCCCTATGCTGAAGACTCCCCAAATCCTCTGAATGACCTACAAATACCTATACAATCCAGACCCACGTACCTCTTGAACCTCAACCTTCTACTCTTCTCCACTCATTCTGTTCCAGCTGCACTGGTCTCCTTGCTGTCCTTAAACATGCCAGCCATGCCCTTATCTCAGGGCTCTTGCATAAGCAACTTTTCTTCCAGATATTCAAAAAAGTCAACCCCCTCACTTTAAGTCTTCGCTCACATGTCACCATCTCAAATGAGGCCCATTTTATTTTATTTTTGAGGCCCATTTTAACCATTTCTCTAAAATTGCAACTTCATTCCCTTTCAGCAACTCTCTATCCTAATAATTTTCAAAATGTGATTTTTCAAGACCAGCAACAACGGCATTACATAGAAACCTATAATGATGACGAATTCTATAATTCCACCCCCAATTTACTGAATCAGAAACTGGGTGTAGAATCAGTAATCTGTTTCAAGACGCCCTCTAAAAGTGATTCTGATGCCCTAACCCACTTTCTGTTTAAGTTGTCTCCAAAGAACTTATTTCACCATTTCATGTACTATATATACATTTTACTATCTATACATTGCACTATATATACATTTTATATTGCTGTGTCCCTCCATCTCCACCCTCTACTAGAATACAGCGCCAAGAGGGCAGAACTTTTTACATATTCTGAAGCCTGTTTATCTTCCACTAAAAAGTATACCATGGGCCTCATTATTTGCTGAACTTTCAGTAACCGTGTACTCCACTTTGGAGGCTATAACTACTAAATCTGTATTTCTAGTATATACTTTACTGGACATAGCATCTAGAGGTCCACAGGCCCCTCAAATAGGCATATCTAGCCTACTCGTCCTCCAGAATTCCCTAACTTCACTAATGGCACCACCATCCCTAGTTACTCCAACCAGAAAACTTCCATTTTCTTCACCTCTTTGCTCCCAACCTTTCTCCACACACTGCTGTCCAGTCCTGTGGAGCCTATCATCTACATGTTTTCCAAAATACATCTTCTCTCTCCATCCTTACTGCTTAAGTTAGCCCTTTTCATTTCTCTCCTGGTTTTCAGTCAGAACCTTCCAACTGATCTCTTTATCTCTACTTTTTTTCCCCTTTGATTTATTTTCCATATTTATGTATAGACTTTCTAAAAACAAATCATGTTATTTCTCTACTGGATCTCTCAGAAGCCATCCCCTTTCTTCAAAATAAATCCGAACTCCTTAGCATGACATTACATGCCTTTCCTTAAATGATCCCTGGCTAGCCCTGGTTGGGTAGTTCAGTTGGTTAGAGTGTTGTCCAGATATACCAAGGCTGTGGGCTTGATCTCCAGTCAGGGCTCATACAAATATCAATCAATGAATGCATAAATATGTGTAACAACAAATCAATATTTCCCTTTCTCTCTTTCCCTCCTGCCCTCTCCACCACCACCACCACCCCCGTCGGACTTTCTCCCCCTAAAAAATCAATCAATCAATACAAAATTTAAAAAAAAATTAAAAACTGATCCCTGGCCCTCGCCAGTTTGGCTCAGTGAATAGAGCATCAGCCTGCGGACCAAAGGGTCCCGGGTTTGATTCCAGTCAAGGGCACGTACCTTGGTTGCAGGCTCCTTCCTGGTCGGGGCTCATGCAGGAGGCAACCAATCTATGTGTTTCTCTCACATTGATGTTTCTCTTTGTCTTCCCTCTCTCTTCTACTCTTCCTAAAAATCAATGGGAAAATATCCTCGGGTGAGGATTAACAACAACAACAACAACAACAAAAACAAACCCAAACTGATCCCTGACTAGTTATCCAGAATCACTAACAGCCACATATCCACAAACATCCTTCCTTCTACCGCTCTGAAACTTCTGCAGCATGTCCAGAGTTCCACGCTCTCTTTTGCCCCTTCTTCTGCCTCCATGCCTTTGTTAAAGTTGTTCCCTAAACTGCACATGCTTTAAATTCAGTTCAAGTACCACATCCTCCCAGAAACCTTCCCTGATGCTCCTATTTTCCTATAGCACACTGTACATACACTTATTGTACTTATCACTATCCTTGGTTTTTCTGTTATTTTCCACACTCATTCCCAAACATGCGGAGGTGGAATAAGTACCTATAAGTCATGATGGTCTTTGGAGAACAATCTACTCTTTGTAGAATCATCCAGGAGCATATTGGTTAGCAGGAAATACACTTACTATGTAGGCATTCTCAAAGACTAACTATGATCACACGAACTTTTAAAATAAGCCCTAGCAAATACCTTCTGATGTTACTACTTCTTCATTCCCTTTGGCATCTGTGAGTGCTCACTAGTAGGCACCAAATTTTAAGAAAATTAAACTTGAAAATATTACCCATTAACTTTTCTAAAAAGCCTCTTCTCCATAAGTTGGTAAATACCTAATTATTCAGTTTTTAGAGATTTAATTCCTCTTTAATATAGTTTGACAATCACTGATTTGGAGGGTGAGAACTATTTCATTTCAAAACTTACAACTTTGTCTAAAAAGATATATAAATACCATTTCTGGATGACAGGATTATGTATCTTTCTTTTACATTTTTAAAAAAATATATTTTATTGATTTTTTCCAGAGAGGAAGGGAGAGGGATAGAGAGTTAGAAACATCGATGAGAGAGAAACATCCATCAGCTGCCTCCTGCACACTCCCTACTGGGGATGTGCCCGCAACCAAGGTACATGCCCTTGACCGGAATCGAACCTGGGACCCTTCAGTCTGCAGGCCAACGCTCTATCCACTGAGCCAAACCGGTTAGGGCTGCCACAGAACTTTTAAAAATTACTTTGTTTACACGTACTTTACATTCCCCCCTCCCCCATAAACAAATTGTAATAGGAAAAGTTACTTTATTTTTTTATTGATTTCAGAGAGGAAAGAAAAGGGAGAGAGAATCAATGATCGGCTGCCTTCTGCCGTCCTGGGGATCGAGCCTGCAACCCGGGCATGTGCCCTTGACCAGAATCGAACCCAGGACCCTTTAGTCCGCAGGCCCACAGTGCTCTATCTACTGAGCCAAACCAGCTAGGTCACATGTTTTAAAAATTCTTGTGATACACCAGTTGAAAATTGCTAGCTTAAATTATCAGTCATGATTACAACAGCTCTGTTTGGTTCTTTTGGATTAATTCATTAGGAAAAAGAGGAATTTTTTTTTTTTTAAAGGTGGTTTTCCTAGGCAAGAGCCGGAAGAGAGAAAGTAGAGAGAGAAAATGAAGATTACTAGTTGCATGTTGAGGGCTAGGGGTGGAGGGTCAGGGATAGTATGATAAAGAGTAAAAGGGGTGTGCTACTCATTATTCTTTGGGGAAAAGGAAGACTAGCTTTAAACAAACAGTAAACATCTACTCCTCAGCACTTAACACAAATGGTAAACATTAATAACTCTTGGTTGTTGATGATGATAAAGTCAAAAACTTGTAACTTGGAAAAAATCTCTATTACAGATGGATCTGATAACAATAGAATTTGCTTCTTTTCCAGTACTCTTCCTGAAGTCTTCCTAATGATATCTCCCTAATGACATTTGCCACAGATTGGATGTTTGTGTCGCCCCAAAATTCACACATCGATGGTACTAGGAGGTGGGACCCTTGGGAGGTGAGCCCTTAAAAATAAGATTAGTGCCCTTATAAAACAACTCCCAGAGAGCTAGCTAGCCCCCTTCCACCACGTGAGGGCACAGCCAGAAGACATCCATTTATTTATGAACCAGGAGCGGGCTTTCACCAGACATGGATTCTGCTGGCACCTTGATCTTGGACTTCCCAGCCTCCAGAACTGTGAGAAATAAATCTGTTGTTTTAAGCCCCTCAGTCTATGGTATTTTTTTCCGGCAGCCGGAATGTACTAAGACACTATCCTTCTTGCATTTTACAATCTGGTAGTTCCCCTTCCTGGATATCCTACAGCAGTGGTTCTCAACCTCCTGGCCCTTTAAATACAGTTCCTCATGTTGTGACCCAACCATAAAATTATTTTCGTTGCTACTTCATAACTGTAATGTTGCTACTGTTATGAATCGTAATGTAAGTATCTGATATGCAGGATGGTCTTAGGCGACCCCTGTGAAAGGGTCGTTCGACCGCCAAAGGGGTCTCGACCCACAGGTTGAGAACTGCTGTCCTAGAGGCATATCAAAATTTCAACCTGCCCCAAAATGAAAAGTTCATTATCTTCATCTCCTTCTTCTCCTTTATTCCTCTCCAACCAACCAGACTTCTCACTCTAAATTTTCAATTCTCACTCCTATACCTAACCAAGTCCTAGAGATTCCACCTCCTATTGTTCAGATTTGTTCCCTCTTCTTCTCTCTATCCCTGTCTTAATTCAGATTTTTGTCATCTCCTGCCTGAGGGCCTGCAATACATGATCTTCTCACTACAAGGATCTTCCCATCCAGCCAGCCCCTTTCTAACACATGAATGGGCCATGTCATTCCCCCTTAAAAGCCCTTTAAATCTTCCACTAAGAAGGTTCTAATTCTTTAATCATACAAGGGTCTTTCTAGTTTTAGCTCTCAACACATTTAACTCTCCCTATCCAATCTAGTCACAATGAAATACTTAAGCATATTTAAATACTTCACACTCATTCATATCTCTATGCCTTTACCTTTGCTTAGGATGCTTTTCCTACCCCCACTTTCCACCCCTCTTTATCAACAGCATTATAGAAAGGGCTTCTGACTTGAGCATGACTTTGGAATATCTCATTTATAAAGCCTATTTATTACAACTCCATAATTCCATACCTAATTACCAGCCAAAACTTTAATTATTCGTTGAACTCCTATTCCCCAACCACTGTGAGGCAGGGATTTTATCTTATTCATCTAGCACAGTGTCAGGCCCACAATCTGTACTAAAAGTTTTCTGAGTGAATCAATGGGTGAATGAGGACTCCCACATATTAGAAGTAACCTCTACAAGGATGGGGCCATTGTTTCCTTCATTACTATACCCCCCAGCACCTAGAAAACCAGCTCTAACATAATGGGCATTAAGTATTTTTTTAATTAATTAGTTTCCTAATTATAGTAACGCCTGCAAACTGCTTTGATCTCAAACCTCATCAGGTTTCTGTCTTGGGGTGGGGCGGAGTGGTAGGGACCGCGGCGAGGGGTCGGAGGGAGGGGCTGGATCTCAGGCTGGGACAGTCTGCGCGGTGGGCCGCTCAGAGTGTTGGAAATGGAGAATTATTAAGCGGGTGCCAAAGTCGGCTGTGCAGTTAACCCTGCCCTAAAGCACGGTAGGGACAACACTGAAAGAAAGGAAATCTGCGGCCTGCAGGTCACAGGTATGGAACTGGACGAAAAGGCATCAAATAGAAGATGCGAAAGAAAAGCAGATGGAAGACCGCAGACAGCTCCCCGTTACAGGGCCGAGGAATCTGCAGGCGGCACCGGCTCGGGGACGGGGGTGGGAGGAAGGAACCGAGGGGAACTCACCACCTCCCCCTGCTCCGCGGACTTGTACACGCCTGACACCATCTCGTTATGGAGAAGCAAAAACAACGCCTCGTCCGCCATTTCCTGCTTATTCTTAAGCTCTGGTTTTCGGCTCCCCTTCGGCTCCGGCTCGGGGTTCCGGCTCGCGCCTGAGCGATGTGGGCCGCCCCGCCGGTCTGCGGCCCGGCCCGCGTTGCTAGGAGACCGGGGTTATTTACACCGTCTGCCGAAGGCGGGCTCTGCAGTGAGCCCACCCCGGGCTGCCAAGCTTTCCGGCCGGACCAGAGACTCTGACAAGGGCGGGAACCAAACCGAACCCGCAGACACCCGGTCCGGCCCCTGGGCGGGGGGCGAAAAAACAACTTCCGGTCCCCTCTACCCGGGCACCCAGTCAGCTCTGTGATCACGGAGTTCCTCCCCTGGGGTGAACTGCTGGTGCCCTGTGATGTCGCTGGGGTCCAGGCGATATGGCTGGGGTGGCGCTGGGGGCAGATGGTGTTAGGATCAAGGAAACTCCCACGGCCACCTCCGTGTTAATTTCCTGGGAGTTGGATGAACCGACAAGAATGTCTATAGCAGTGGTTCTCAACCTTCCTAATGCCGCGACCCTTTTATACAGTTCCTCATGTTGTGGTGACCCCCAACCATAAAATTATTTTCGTTGCTACTTCATAACTGTAATTTTGCTACTGTTATGAATCGTAATGTAAATATTGATATGCAGGATGTATTTTCATTGTTACAAATTGAACATAATTAAAGCATAGTGATTAATCACAAAAACAATATGTAAGTATATGTGTTTTCCAATGGTCTTAGGCGACCCCTGGGAAAGGGTCGTTCGACCCCCAAAGGGGTCGCGACCCACAGGTTGAGAACTGCTGGTCTATAGGCTTCATCCAAAGCTTCCACTTCCTGCCCTGTGTTTAATATGAAAAGTTGTAAAAACAGTGAATAAATCATAATTTTTCAGGCTATACATTTTAGATATATTGAGAAATTATCCCAATCCATATTAGTTTAAGCCTAGGTAGAAAGATGATTTAAAGCCATTTTGGACACCAGGAAGAGGCAAGGGAGTAAGCAAAGAACTAGATACTCTTGAACCAGAAGACACAAATTAATCAGAGAATTCAGTGAATAGAAAAAGTGCTAAAGACTTCAGAAAAGCAATGTTGTTGTGGGATAGAGTTCATAATAACCCATGACATATGTGAAACAACTAAAGCAATGCAAATACCCATGTTAGATATATGTATCTCTTAAATTTTGCAAATTTGGATTAGTTAAATGTGTTGCTTAGCATGTGATTAGCTCTTGTCTTATAGACAAAGCAGATTTTTTTCCAATTAATTCATTGTTCCCCAAAATTAACATATTGAGTTTTCTCAAATTTTTAACCTCTCAACTCTTCATATCCTTTCACAGGAATTTAAGATCATGTCCCATAACTGGAATTATGGTAGCTTTTTCTTTACATGTCTCTTCTAATGCTTGGATCACTTTATTTGATCATCACATAAAATAAGCATAAAAGTTCCACCTGAGTTTTTGAAAACACTAAATAGTGTAATTTTGAAAACATAATCTTAATTTTTCCAGCACTACAATTTCCCATGTGAAGTCAGGTCCTTTATGTCCCAATTGCATTCTTTTTTAAAAATATATGTTTTTATTTATATTTTACAGAGAGGAAGGGAGAGGGAGAGTTAGAAATATCAATGAGAGAGAAACATCCATCAGCTGCTTCCTGCACACCCCCTACTGGGGATGTGCCTGCAACCAAGGTACATGCCCTTGACCAGAATCAAGCCTGGGATCTTTCAGTCCGCAGGCCGACGCTCTATCCACTGAGCCAAACCAGTTAGGGCCCAATTGCATTTTTTCTTCATCACCACCACCAAGGAATAGGAGGAATCCAGGCTCCCTATTGAGGTTGAAGAGTAAGCAATTGACCAACTTATTAAGGTTGACTTCTCAAACTACAATAACATGGAATTCTTAGAATATTTTGGAGAATGGAGGGGAAACATTTATTGAGTATCTACTACCGTAAATGTTGAACACAGCATTTCACTATTCTCTCCCCATAAAGCAGACTATGTTAAATTGGCCAGGATCCAAGTAAAAGATCCTTTGGAAACAGGAATAGATCCTGGTTTTGGTTAACTCTAAAAGCATTTTTTTATGGAAACACTTTTCTATTTGGTGTTAGGATCTACTTTTGCAACATCCTCCTGGTTCATGTACTGCCTGCGACATGGGATTGTAATATGGGTCAGAGACCAGGTATGCTCATAATCAGAAAGAAATAGTTATTCATTGATCCTCATCCTTCTTACCTAGCTTTACTTTCGCTTTTTTTTTCAATAGCACTTCTTCCTTTCTAATGCTGGGGTGGAAAAGTTTTCCTTCTAGACCTTCTAGGTTTGTTGGCTGGTTTAATAATTAAGTTGCCTTAGGTTAACAGGAAAATAAATTTAATTTCATGAATTTGGAAGCTCCATAAAAATATGAGACCCCAAAGACAGGCAATTTAGGTTTATATGCTGTCCTGAGCTAGGAACCTGGGGCTTCAAATGGGAGGACAACTCACAGGTAGAAGAGCAGATGTTTGGTAATCAGATGTTTGCCAAGCTATGCAGGCAAGCCTTTCAGATAAAATGTTATCTCTCAGATTATGTACTATAATATTGTACACTTAAAACATATAATCTTATTAACCAATGGCACCAAATAAATTTAATTTTTAAAAAAGAAAGAAAAGTTAACTCTGGTAATATCTCTTTCTGGTCCAGGCCCCCTAACTAAATTACTGTAGGTAGTTAGGGAGTGGTAAAAGTTTTTCTTAAGTCTGCTGGGTCTTAACTGCATTCAGCTCAAAATAATTCATATGCCCAACTGGCACATGTTGGCTTGGCATAGTCTGCTCTCTTTCACTAACATGCTACATAATTTACTGATGTTTGTCCTCTGTCTCCACACTCTTTCTGCTCCCAAGCTCCTTCAGGGAACAGATCTTTTTTGTACACTCATGTATCCAACTTCTTGGAATAGTGGCTGGCACATAATAAGCGCTCACTGGATATTTGTTGAATGAATCAGTATATGAATGATCTTTGCTCCCTGAGTTTATAAACTCCAGAAAAGCAGGAACCACACCTATCTTACTCTAGGATTTATCCTCAGAGCCTAGGTTGCTGCTTCTACATGGGAGGAGCATTTAAAGGTTGGGTGAATTAAGATGGTTACTGGAGTTAAATACAGTTGACTTGCTAATGCTTGGTGCCAGGAGGCTGCCTGCTAACAGATGAAAATGAGAACCCAAAGGTTATTTGTAACATTGTTTGTATGAGAAAATGCTTTCTGAGCTATTTATACACACACACACACACACACACACACACACACACTCTAGAGACCCAGTGCACGAAATTTGTACACTTGGGTGGTCCCTCAGCCCGGCCAGCACCCTCTCGCAGTCCAGGAGCCCTCAGGGGATGTCCGACTGATAGCTTAGGCCTGCTCCCCGTACTCCCCCGCCCCAAGCTGTCAGTCGGACATCCTTGGCACTGCTGGGGAAGCAGGAGCGGCTCCCGCCACCACTGCTGCACTCGCCAGCCGTGGACCCAGCTTCTGGCTGAGTAGTGCTCCCCCTGTGGGAGCACACTGAACACCAGGGGGCAGCTCTTGCATTAAGCATCTGCCCCCTGGTGGTCAGTGTGCATCATAGCGACTGATCATTCCACCATTTGGTCGATTTGCATATTAGCCTTTATATATATAATATATATATATATATATTTTTTTTTTCTGTTGGCAACACAGGTAGAGCAGAACCAGAAGCTGAACAACCATCTCTCTCCCCCACCCCTCTCTCTCTCTCTCACACACACACACATACACACACACACACAAACAATAGCATGGGCTCCCTGGACCCCATCTTAAGCTAACCAGCTCTGGGCCAGGTGTAGAGGCTAATGACTGTCTCATGTCTCGTAGTTGCTTTTTTGTTGTAAAATATCTTGAAGGCCCATCCAAGTCAGATTGCTGGCCCATTCTGGTCCTGGTGGAGGTGGAGGACGTGATAGTTTATTGCTGAGGTAGGATGTCCTTGGGACTTAATTCATATGCTAAGGCTCCTGGCGCTTCTTATACTAAATTAGTATGTCTAATATGCTAAGACTACTGGAGCCTTAGGGTCTGAGCCAACTGATTCGAGGGCTGGCCAGACTAGGGACAGGGACAGTATCCCCAGACTCAGTCTCCTTATCAGGAAAAACGGGCATTTTCTTAAAGCTATTGAGAGGCATAAGGCACGTAAAGCGTTCCACACAGTGTCTTCAAAGTAACTGTTAGCTATTACGTTTAATGACTTTTCCTGTTTCTTCATTCTTTGTTTCCCTCCGCTAATTTTGGTTTAACCTAATGGGGGGGAAAGACTGCTCCCCCCCCCCCCCAACACTCTCTGGGCATGCGCACCAACAGAACAGCCGCACCCTTTCCTAATCACTGATGGGGGTGAGTGGGTGGGTGGGTGAACAGACAAGCCTCCCCACCCACTCTGAGGGGATTAGGAGGCTAAACAGCGTAAATCTCGTCACATGACGGATTAAAAGGGCTGCAAACCTCCGCGCTCCTCCTCTGGAGAGCGAGCCGACGAGCGCGTCCCTCCGAAGACCCAAGGACTCACAATCCCGCCCCGCGACTGCGCCAACAGCGAGCCCGGCCGCCCGCAGCTACCTGTGGGGGGGAGGGCCCGGCTGGCGGACTTCTCATTGGCCCAGCGTCACAAGGCCGGCAGATTCTCCCCCTTCCGGTTGCTGTTGGTTGAAGCCGAAAACTACGCCCACCGTCATTGGCTGAGCCCAGCTGTCAATCCTCCCGCGTCTGGCGGCGCGACACAGCCCGGCGCGGCCTGAGGAGCAGTCTCGAAGCCTGCTGCAGGGAGAAGATGGCGGTCGCAGTGAGAACTTTGCAGGAGCAGCTAGAAAAGGCCAAAGAGAGCCTAAAGAACGTGGATGAGAATATTCGCAAGCTCACCGGGCGGGATCCGAATGACGTGAGGTAAGGGCCGGGTGAGAAATGCGGGCTCCGAGAGGCAGCCATCATCCGGCCGAGGTGAATTGGGGGCGGGGAGGGCGGCCCGCTAGGAGAAGGCTGTTACATCGAGGCCTGTTCCCGGGGCGGCGGTGGAACCCGGTCTTCGGTGAGGT